TTCAGTGCCTTGTGTCAGCAGCCATTGCATCCCTTGTTCAAAAATAAAAGAAAACTATAAGTCATCTTCAATACTGTATTTTAAAATTCGCAAAAGAATTTATTCAAGCACCACTTTTAGGAAAACCTATTGATGTGCCAAACGGGCAGTCATGATTTTAACCGGTTTCACTAATGAGCACCAGACCCAACTTTCAATTTTTATCCACTTTCTATCTGCTTAAAATAGATGTGTTCATGCGCGCTTTAGGAGAAGAGGATATATGACTTAAAGAAGAAGAATCAGGAGCTGGAGAAGTACAAGTTTGTGCTCTCCTACAAGATAGCTGAGTTGAAAAAGCAGATAGAGCCTCGAGAGAATGACATTAGGAACTACAAGGAGCAGATTCAGGAGGTATGTTGTTCGCTTTTGCCTCAAATATGCACACGCAGAGGGGAAGGCTGTTGGGATGTCACGCAAGGCCATACCCTGCGGGTGCGGGACGGAGGTGAGGAAAGCGAAATGAGTAATCCACGGAAAACTGCCATCGGTTTTTAATGATTCACTTACACTGCAGAAAGGGTCATGCGATGTGGACGGGGTGATGGGGGATGGGAGTGGCGAGATAGAAGAGACTCAGTCACATGCTTCCACTTGACAGACGTCTGTTATTTGGTCATATATCTGCTCTGCACACAGTCAGCAGAAGGTAATTGCGAGACTTTGCCCGAAATCACGCCATCTACTACAACACGCATTAGCGGCTAGGCACAGCTGTAAAGTTATAGCTGACTTCAAACCTCCCTTTTAGCGCCATTAAAGGGAGAAGAAGGGATAGTTTTTGGTCGCAATCGTTGCCTACCGAATCTGTTGTTAATTCCAGTCATTTACTGTTCCCAAAGTTTCACCTGATTCGGAAGTCTGTCGAAAAAAATTAATTTCCGATTCATTCCACCCAAAAGCAATTGGATAGTAATGGGCTCCTGGAGGCCAACTTTAGTTTGTGCTGCCCTAGTTTACAAAAATGGCCGAAATTCCTCGTCGGTGATACAATTTTGCAGGAATTTCCTACCAGAAATATGGCAGTAGAAAGAAACCTGATGCACAAATGCTTATTTCTAAATTTCACGGGAAAAAAGATTTGGTGGAACGTAAACTACCAATAGGCTAGCAGAGTAAATTTATGGTTTTTATAAGCTGCTGCTTCTTCATTTCAAAGGGGCTTCGATCTGACAGCATAAATTGAGCCTGTTACTACCGAAAATTTAGGCTAGCATCTGACACATTGCTGCTCAGGGACACGTCAATGGAACGACCGACAGCGGATTACCACTTTTAGAGAAGGCAATCAACAATCTCAATTCACTACCTCGGTGGCCGTTGGCAAACTCTTAACAAATGCATACCATACTTCTCAAAGTTTTCTACCTCCTTAACATTCCACCCTACACAGTCCAATCTGTTCGTAACTTGAGTTGGTGAACTGTAAATATGTCAAAATTTAAATTAACAAGGGTAGTCCAATCTGTAATTGTTGCTTCTCATAAACCTACGGCTTCAAGTTAATGGCTTTTGATTCAATCAACAAAGTTATACTCTAAAGGAATTTTGTAGTGACAAGCAGAGTTGTTTTTTATGACTGTGAAAATCTTTGGTCTGGTGTTTTACAGATGGAGAGTGAATTGGAGCGTTTCAACCAACAGAACGGGGCTTTGGATCTTAGCATAGAGGAACTGAAGGAGAAGCTCAAGTCCACCGTGGGAGAGTTAAAGGCGGAGCGTCAGCTAAGACGCAACATTCAGGCTACTGTTCGACGCTTTCGCATTGAC